CTCTACCTGTGTCCCTGCCTCTCTCTCTCCCTGTGTCTCTCATGAATAAATAAAAAATCTTTAAAAAAAGAAAGATTGTGTCCATGTTTTGCTATTAGAAAAAAATAGTCATCATAAGCAGGTTATCAAGCTGATTTTGTATTTGCATTTTTTAAGAACTGTAAATTGATTTGGGTTCATTAGCCTCACAAAGGCTACCAAGGCCTTTAGTTTTTTAATAAAACTGGAAAAAGCAGTATTTTTGCAAAACAGAATGAAGATTAATAACTTAGTTACTTGGGAATAAATACTATGTGTGCAAGAGCAAAACCACACCCAAAGAAAGCTTAATCAAGAAAAGCTTTGGGGGGATCCCTGGGTGGCTCAGTGGTTTGGCACCTGCCTTTGGCCGGGGGCGTGATCCTGGAGTCCCCAGATCCAGTCCCACGTCGGGCTCCCTGCATGGAGCCTGCTTCTCCCTCTGCCTGTGTCTCTGCCTCTCTCTCTCTCTCTGTCTATCATAAATAAATAAATCTTAAAAAAAAAAAAAGCTTTGGAAGCTTCAGTCACACATAAAAAAATTGAAATCCTGAGAATCCCATTCTATAGATTTTTTTAAAGTATACAAAGCAGTCAGATCCCAGTATCATCCCCAGTACAAAATGAACGCGAGAGAGGATAGTAGAAAAAGTCAAGCTATTTCTCCTTTACCTTGGGTCCTTGATGGACTCCTCAGTCCCTGGACTGATGTACCCAGGACACCTTTAGTCTGGGTATTTCCTTAAAGCCCATATACATTTTCCTTGAATCATTTACAATGATCTCTTATCTTCAAAAAAAGTCCAAATGCATCCCCATTCAATAACACCTCTCCAACAGCATAAGCTAAATTATTATAATTTTCTAGCAATTTGAATGAACTGAACTTTTCTTAAAAAATTTTATTTATTCAATTGAGACAGAGAGAGCATGAGCAGGGGGAGAGGCAGAGGGAGAGGGAGAAGCAGACTCCCTGCTGAGCAGGGAGCCTGATGTGGGGCTCAACATGGAGCTCGATCCCAGGGTCTGGAAATCCTGACCCGAGCCAAAGGCAGATACTTTACCATCTGAGCCACCCAGGTACCCCCGAAGGAATTATAATTTTATGTGTACTATTTCATATCTATTAGTGAGAGTTCAAATATACAAACCATTTTATTCCTTAACACAATGCCATCTTTCCTCGTAAAATTGAAACGTATTGCTTATAAAACATTCGCACTAAATCCACACTTCCCTACCACTCACCCCCAAATCCAAAGGAATTTAAAGGAAATTGAGTAACCATTTACCTGTAAATATGAAATCTGTACTCTATTTTAAAAAGATACTGCCCCAGCTCTCTCCTCCTCGTGGGCTATCGCATCTGCTTTCCTAATACTTCCCATGTGCTGTGTACATTTTCTGTAAAATGTTATGTTCAATTAGGAATTTCCTGGTTTATATTTTTACATTCACAGAAGTCATAAACTCTTCTGTGTGAAATGTTTTAAAAATCCTAACAGTTGTTTAAAAATGCTCTTGACGCACCTGGATGGCTCAGTCAATTAAGCCTCCCGCTCTTGATTTCGGCTCAGGTCATGATCTCAGGGTCCTGGGATCAAGCCCCCCTTCCCCATAAGGCTCTGTGCTCAGTGGGGAGTCTGCTTCAGGATTCTCTCTCCCTCTGCCCTCCCCCACCCCTGCACAGTTACATGCTCTCTCTCTCAAATAAATAAGCTTTAAAAATAAATAAATAAATAAATAAATAAGACCCAGTTTCCTGCGTCTAAAGCACATTTAATAAAATGCACTCGGTCATCTAACTCCTATGTTGGAGCAGCTCTGTCGGTTCTAAAGTGCTGCCCTAGTTTCACAATTCCCTTTACTATTATTACCTGATTTCAAGCACTTCAGTTTCTCTAGAATTCCAATGAAACGATCACCAGGATTCAAAATAGAAAAAAAAAAAAAAAAAAAAGTGGAACGAACATTCCCTCCCTAATTAAAATTGCCCCTCCAGTAGCAGATTCTTTGCTTTCCTTGAGTTGTGTCGGTGACTGAAAGCCCGGCCGTGACACACCAGTGCGCTGCCAGCAGCTCCTTACGGGCTCTGCGAACGTGGTCACGGAAGTTCGGAGGAACCGCTTCTGCTTTGGGCAGTAGTGCTCGGTGCCGCTCTGAAAGGCAGAGAAAGCCACAGCAGATGGCTCGGGCTTGGGAACAGCGGGAAGAAGGCTGTCGAGGGGACTCAGAAGGAGGCGGTTCGGACACCAGCCAGAAGAGCTCAGCGTTGAGGCTGAGGTTGCCGCCAACAGGAAACGGCTGAAGGTCCCTGAAATTATCCTCCGAACAAACGTTCCTGCTCTGGCCTGGAGGAACACTGAGTGGCCCGGCGCGGGGGACTGGGAATTAGAAGGGCCGGTTCGGAGGCTCTAGTGAAATTTCGATTTTGGGTGATGGAGCTCTAGCCTCCTGTGGCAGGTATAAAAACGTGGGCATTTTGAAAGAAAAACAGATGGGACTTGGTGACTAAGCAGAGAGGGAGAGAGGTGAGTCAGTGATGATTCCACGATTCTGAGCATGACTTGGACGTAGTAGCACATGGGCAATGGGGAAGTTGGAAGGAAGGAATTGGACTTTTTTGTCAGGAAGCTGATATATTTGGCTCTAGACAGGCTTATTTTGAGCCAAAGATTTGGTGGAGGTGGAAAGTTGAAGGTATGTAACGAGGGCATAAATTGAAGGATAGGATTGGGAATTTTGTATATGTACAAAATAGGTATATATTTGTGTGTATATCTGTACATATAGGTTTTAACTATGGAATACTTCAAATATACCCAACATAGACCGAACAGTAATGAACTCCCATGTACCCAGCATCACCTGGCTTCAATAATGATCAGCTCTTAGCCAACTTTGTTTCATTGACTCCTCACCCCAAATGATTCCAACGCATATTCCAGATACGGAGACAGAGAGAGACTTTTAAGTCCGAAGTGCTGGGCCACCCGGCTGGATCAGTTGGTGAAGAATGCAACTCTTGCTCTCGGGGTTGTAGGTTCAAGCCCCATGTCGGGTGTAGAGATTAATAAAAAAGAAAAGTATGAAGCACAGAAAATATACATCTGAGAAGACCTCAGAGAAGTTTAAAGCAAATCCTCTCATCCTACCAATGAGCAAAGGTAAAAATTAAGAGACAGTAATGAATTTCCCCTAATTAAGAAAAACAAAAACAAAACACAATTGTGGAGCTGTAACTAGAACCCAGTTATCTGCAGTTTGATTACGTTTTCACCTTTATGAGATGAAATGAGAAAAATAAAGATGCCATATAAATTCCTCAGAAAGCTAAAATTCAAGTTTTAAAATTCTTTGTAAAGATTTTATGAATTACTATTTGTAAACATCTGTCTTAAATACTTTATTTGTAATTCTGTCCAATTAACACCACAGGTGCCATACGTTATAAAACAGAACTGTAACATAGGTCCTCACAGTAATTTAGCAGAACAAGGGAACTGTGTTAGCTTAATTACCATTGGTCGGTTTTCATACTGGGGCCCTACAGTTGGTGGGGTCATTCTAAGTGTGCCTTGGAGCCAACAAAAGAGTCCTATCTGTCTGGAGTCAGTTTACTTTTGGCTGCCAGGAAAGTCACCTTGAATGACACGTCACCTCTTGTACCATGTCTACCTACACTTACGGGGCAAGCTCTGTGTTGATCATGGTGAGCAGAAAATGTCACAAGGCAGTAAGAGTTGTGTTGATATTAATTCCACAGAAGGGCACAAGCTGAATAACATACAGCCTGCCAAAAAAGAGAGTATAATTCTATCAGAAAAATGTGACAGTTCATGGATCCAACTTAGATTTATAAAAGTAAATTAATCAGTCTGAGTTCTGGTAATGTTCTTTGGGAAGATGTTGTGTAGCCCCGCAAAACTGTGGCTTTTAAAAAAGATCCTCTGATTTATTCCTCATGATGAGCCTCTAAGTTTGGGGCTCTTTCTCCACCCCCGCTGTCTCATTCACCTGTTGTCTCAAGGAAGTGAGAATTTCAAAGGGGGGGGGGGGCGGTGATGCCTGATGCAATAGTAAAGTTTGGGGGAGGCGGATATAGGGCTGTAAGAAGGCAACCAAAGGCCCCGTGAGCAGTGGTGGGAACAGAAGCCAGACGGCCAGCAAATTAAGCTGACGACTGGGGTTACATTATAGCCCACTACTACCTATTTTTTTTTTTTTTAAATATTGTCTCCTAGGGGTGCCTGGCCAGCCCAGTTGGTAGAGCATGCAACTCTTGATCTTGGGGCCGTGGGGTGCCAAGAGGTCAAGTCCCATGTTTGGCACAGAGATGATTTTTTAAAGAAATTTATTAGTGCCCATTGGTGATGGCTTAAGAAATCCAATAAAGATTTTTAAGAAATATGTAGTCTTCTAAAAATGCTAATTTGCAAAACTCTGTTATAACTATACTGCTTTTATTTATACACAAATTTGAGTCTAGTGAAAAAGCACCTTTTCTCTAGCGAGCATTACCAACACTTTTAAGGCCTCTTTTACATGTCGAGCATTGTGCGAATGCTTACTTCAATGCACCTCTGCTGCCACGCTCTGGGACCTTAATGGCTGCCTCAACAGTTAGCAAACATAGAAGCAGGGTGGAGAGAGCCAGAGTCTTGAGAGTTCATATTCATTAGGGAAATTCTCCAGTGCTTTCCTTTGGGTGGAGACATTAAGAAACTACCTACACAGGGACTCTAGTTAGTTGGATAAATCTCGCCACATCCCTTTGAGGAGGATGTTTAGGATACAAAGCTTAAGTGCCAACGTTTATGTAACACCCTATCTAAATCCTGCAAGTAAACTGATACCAAGTTTTCAAAGAAATGAAAGTATTGATGTATCAAAGCAAAACACCTATCCTTTCTTCTAAGTATTTAATATTATCAATTGAATTAGCAAGTGGAAATTAACATAAAACTACAAGTAGCAATATTAACATGACTTGCGTGATTTTGATAAGCAGCCCCCAGTAAATATAATGTAAACCTATATTTACCAAGATGAAGGGAAAACAATCAGAATAAAATATGTATTTCACAGTTATCTTTGAAAAGAAGCACCGACCATTTCTTCTGGTTTCCATTCTTCACTTTCTTCCTAACCTTAATAGATTCAACAATAATCCAAGTGCCAATGTGCTCACAGTGCACTGGGGACACTGAACAAAAGCATCACCATTCTGAGTCTGATTCCTTGCTGTGCAGGTTCCTGGTTCTGACAGCAGCTCGAAGAATATTATTGAGGAAAAATTGAGGCTTTGTCTAGACAGAAAAAATTTTATTTAGCAATTTATTTTCTGATTTTCTTAAATTTATGGGAATTAAAAGGGAAATAAATACAATACTGCAGTATAAATTTGATATATAATTTTAAAAATTTAAATTATGTTAAATTTCTTTGTTTCATGTATAATTCCATTTACTCAAATCATACAGTAATAATATACAGAAATTTCACTGACAATACACAATTAAAAAGTGTTCATTTTTGAGAATTACTTTTATCATGTTTTCTAATGATGTCCATAAGATTAGCTCCTGTAACCAGATCATTCTGTGTCTGTTTATCTTTCTGTTGTTCCTTTCTTTTCTGGTCATGAAGGTAGGGAGAATTTAATAACTGTGGGGGAAGAATGGATCCTGTGGGTTTCACTCTTTTTGCAATATCCCAGAAGAGTCTTTTTGAATTGTTATTGATGAACGTAATTGCTGTCCCATTTTGGCCTAATCTCCCCACTCTTCCAACCTGAAATGAAATGCAAAGGACATTTTCAAAATGTTCATATAAAACCTTAATGTCTCTTGAAAGAAAATGAAGATCAGTATTTAAAGAGGCTTTTACTAAGATTAACATTCACTCACATAGCATTTTTTGAATTGTATGTCTCAATGTACTTTGTGAAACCAATTTAGTGGACTGCCACCGGCATATTTTTAAAGCAACAGCTCAAACAGGAAATATGAAAGCAACCATATCTAAGGAACTGTTTGTGAAACTTGTGTTTCAGTTATGTAGCATGTTTGTGTGTGTGCGCATGTGCTGTGTGAGTGTGAGTGTGTGTGTGTGTAGGGTAGTAATGACAGGAAGATGTTTCCTACTGTGGGTAGGTTAAGGTAAAAATTTTTCAAAGCTACCGCGCTTTTAGAGCAAGAGGACTATTTGTTTTAGAGTACTTCGATGCCTTTGCAATAGGAGATTTAAGCAAATTCATTTTGTGTAGTTATTTCTCACTGTCATAAAATTAAATGGACACAAATTTGTGATGAAAATACATGATAAGGAACAAAATTTACTTGTTTCCAAATATACTGAGAAACTTCAGAAGAAGGTGGTAAACACACAGTTATGGTCAATTTTTGCTTCTTAACTGAAATGTAGGACTTAAAGTCAGTATTTAGAGTATTAAAATGAATACTTGCTGCCAATATATAGGACATTTTTAATGTTGTAAAAAAGAAAGCAAAACATGGCCCTCTGGGGAATGAGACTGGGAACAGGTAAGGGAAGGAATGTTGTTTTATTTAATTATGTCACTGAATTGTTCCAGTAAAACTAAAAATTAATATAAAATATAGCTGTACTCACATACTGGAAGAAAATATTTGCCTATCATGTTTTTGGTAAGGGTTTTCTGGAATATATAAATAACTTACAACTCAATAATACTCCTCAATAAAGGATAAGCCAATTAAAAAATGGGCAAATAATTTAAACAAACATTTCTCCAAAGAAGATACACAAAAGGCCAGTATGTACATAAAATGATGTTCATTAGTCATTAGGGAAATTCAAATCAAAAACACAAGGAGAAGGACGCCTGGGTGGCTCAGTGGTTTAGCGCCTGCCTTTAGCCCAGGACATGATCCTGAGGTGCTGGGATCGGGTCCCACATCAGGCTTCCTGCATGGAACCTGCTTCTCCCTCTGCCTGTTTCTGCCTCTTTTCTCTGTGTGTCTCTCATGGATAAATAAATAAAATCTTTAAACAAATAAACAAACAAACAAAACACAAGGAGAGAGGTGCCTGGGTGGCTCAGTGGGTTAAGCCTGGACTCTTGATGTTGGCTCAGGTCATAATCTCAGGGTTGTGAGATAGAGCCCAGTGCTGAGTCTGCTTGTCCCTCTCCCTCCCCCTCTGTCCTGCCCCCCATTCTCTCTCTGAAAGAAATGAAAAAAAACTTCTTTAAAAAAATGCACACACACAAGGGATGTAACTTCACACCCATTGGCAATGCTACAACTAAAAAGATAAATAATGTAAGTGCTAACGAAGGTTTGGAGAAACTAGAATCCTCCTATATCGCTGATGAGAATATAAAATCATAAAGCCGTATTGGAAATGAGTCTATCAGTTCCTCAAAATGTTATACACAGAATTACTACGTAACCCAGTAATTCCTTCCTAGGTGCATGCCCAACAGAAATAAGAACAAATGTTGGCAAGGATGTGCAGAAAAAGGAACCCTTGTGCTCTGTTGGTTGGAATGCAAACTGGTGCAGCCTCTGTGGAAAAGAGTATGGAGTTTCCTCAGAAAATTAAAAGTAGAATTACCATATAATCTAGTAACTCCACTACTTGGTATTTATCCAAAGAACAGGGAAATACTAATTTGAAAAGATACATGCACTCCTATGTTTATTACAACATTATTTACAGTAGCCAAACTATGGAAGCAGCCCAAGTGTCCATCCATAGATGAATGGATAAAGAAGATACAGTATGTAGACATAATGGAATATTACTCCACCATAAACAGGAAGGAAATCTTGCCATTTGCAGCAACATGGATGGAGCTAGATAATATGACACTAAATGAAATAAGTCAGTCAGAGTAAGACAGATACCATGTGATTTCACTCATGTGTGGAATTAAACAAAACAAGAAAAAAAGAGACAAACCAAAAAAAAAAAAAAAAAAGACTTCACTACAGAGAACAAACTGATGGTTATGGGGGAGGGGAAAGATAGGTGAAATAAGTGAAGGGAATTTAGAGTACATTTGTCATGATGAGCAAAAGTAATGCATCAAATTGCTGAATCACTATATTGTCCACCGGAAACTAACATAACACCGTATGCTAACTACACTGGGATTTAAAAAAACGAAAATGCATGTCTACATAAAACCCTGTACGTGAAAAAAAAAAACAAACAAACCTGTACATGAGTGCTCAGAGCAGCACTATCCACAGAAAACAAACAGTAGAAACACACTAAATGGCTAGCAACAATGAACAAAGAAAGGTGGCATATCCTTAGAATGGAATATTATGTAGCAAAACAAGATGTACGGACATATGCTACAGTATGAGTGAAAGTTGAAAACATTGTGATAAGTAAAAACCATCAGAGAAGACTACATACCATATGATTCCACTTATATGAAATGCCTAAAAGAGATACATCTATAAAGACAAAGCAGAGTAACTGTTGCCCAAGGAGTCTATGTGTGTAACAGGTGTGGGGAATAACTGCAGATGGGACAAGTATGGGGCTTCTTTTTGGGATGATAAAAATTTTCTAAAATTGGCTGTAGTAATGGTTGCACAAGTATATGAATATAATAAAAACCACTGAGTTGTACACTTTCAAGTGAATTGTATAGCATGTGATTTATATCAATTGAGACATAATTTATTCTGAGATGTTTTATACTAAGACATAAGCTGTTTAAAAAAAAATAACTGCAATAGTCTACAAACTCTAAAAGACTTAGCAAATTCAAAATTATTTCCCCAGAAGCTCTCTGCCCCCTAAATTAAAAGCAGACACACAGGGGCGCCTGGGTGGCTTAGTTGGTTAAGTATCTGACTCCTGATCTTGGCTCAGGTCATAATCTCAGGGTTGCAAGACTGGGCCCTGTGTCATCATCAAGCCCCATGCTCCACAGGGAGTCTGCTTCTCTCCCACTCTCTCCCTCTTCCTGTTTCTCCCACTCACACTCGAGAGTTCTCTCTCTCTAACATAAACAAATAAATCTTTAAAAGTAGACACATAGGAATACCTACTATAATTCAAAGTAACACATGTCCTAAGGGTGGTTCAAGCAGTTGGCTGTCTGACTCTTCGTTCTGGCTCAGGTCATGAGATCAAGCCCCCGGTAGGGCTTTGTGCTCAGTGAGGAGAGTCTGCTTGTCCCTCTCCCTCTGCTCCTCTCCCTGCTCATACTCTCTCTCTCAAATAAATAAACAAAACTTAAGATAAGTAAGTAAATAAATCTTAAAAATAATTAAATAAAATCCACATATCCTAAAAAAAAAGACCAAATATAAAAAAATAAAATAGAATAAAATAAAATCCACATATCCTTTGATCTAGCAGGTCTCCTATACATTTATCTTACAAATATACTGCATGAGAGGCACAACTGTAAAGGTGGATGTTCACTGCAGCAGCATTATTATTTCTTAAGTAGACTCCATGCCAGTATGGAGCCCAATGTGGGGCCTGAACGCATGACTCTGAAATCAAGACCCGAGCTGAGATCAAGAGTCAGATGCTTAACCGAATGAGCCACCCAGGCACCCCAGGCAGCATTATTTAATAATGGAATATTGGAAACAACTAATTGTCCATCAAATTATAAAGGATTTATTTAATAAACTATGGTAATCCACATAGTAGATGACCATGCAGCAATGAAAATAGATCAAGACCAATTAAACAAGTAAAAGCATTTAAAGAGTTTATTTTTTTTTATTTTTTTGCATTTAAAGAGTTTAGAACAGTGCCTGCCATATGGTAAGCACTTCATATACATTAGTATTTTTAAAATGGTGCCTATTATGTGTGCTAATAAGGGAAAGGTGCCTAATATATTTTTTAAATGGTGCCTATTATGTGTGCTAATAAGGAAAGGTGCCTAGTATATATTTAGTAAAACGAGCAGGGCATAAACAGTTGGTGTAATATGGTCCCATTTATGTAGTAAGAGTAACAGGGTATGCATATACATGTGTGTTTATGTACAAATAGACATTTGTATTTTCTGCACTATTAACTGTCATAACTACTCAAAGCAGGAAGGCTACTTTACAAAGACCTATTTTTCATTTTGGGGCATCTGGCTGGCTCAGTCAGTTGGGCATCCAACTCTTGATTTCAGATCAGGTCATGATCTAAGGGCTGTGAGATCAAGTCCCTCATTGGGCTCTGTTGTAGGCTCTCTTTCCCTCTTCCTCTGCCCCTCCTCCTGCTAAGTGAATAACTGAGAGCCACAGGGTTGCCCTTGATGCAGCGAGAAAAAGTTAAATCATTCTGATCAGCATACTCTATTTAAGAAGCAAAGAAGCTTCTTAATTATTTTAATATTTTGAAAAAAATTACCATCCAAAATGGTTAAATTTAAAAATTTGAAAGAAGATCAACTTCAGTGATTTGAGCAATCAACTCCTGTGTGATGGCCAATTCCCTGATGCACAGGTAAATGAGGTGGCACTGCTATATTACTAAGTCTAAGTAAAAATACAAGCAACAATGCATTCAAGGCACTAAAAGTGTTTCAGTGGGTGATCCAAGTGAATGTGGCATTCAGAGGTAATTCTAAGAACATGACAGAAAGGCTTTACTTGAAGAGTCTGTAAGTGATGCCGGAGAAGGAAAACAGGTAGCAGTCAGGGAGATAAGGCGACGCTAAGAGAATGCTCTATTTCTGTTAGAAAGAAGAGCTGCTGTTATCTCTGGCAGCAAAATAAAGAAACAAAACTTTAATAGGTGAAAGTCTAGAACAAATAAGGATATGAAGAAGAGATGAAGACAAGATTCCTAAAAAACCAAATACTTTAACAGATCAACTTCATTTTGGCCAGATATGTCAACCTAAAACAAACCCTTTTTTAAAATCCTGATTATGAAAGCCATTTAATACACTTACTGAATGAGAAGTATAAAGGAAACAAAAATAAGCTAAAAACCAATGATTTAAAAATTTTTTAAACATTCTAGGTTATTATTTTCAATACTTTTTAACTCATTTTAGTATACACAGCTTTGTTTCTTTTTTAAAGATTTTATTCATTTATCCATGAGAGACCCAGAGAGGGGCAGAGACCCAGAGAGGCTCCCTGTGGGGAGCCTGATGTGGGCCTTGATCCCAGAACCCCAGGATCATGACCTGAGCCAAGCAGGTGCTCAACCACTGAGCCACCCAGATGCCTAGTACACGCAGGTTTTTAAAACAAAATTTAGTTTCTATCCATGCATACATATTTTTAAAGATTTTATTTCTATGTAATCTCTACCACCAATGTGGGGTTCAAACTCACAACTCTGAGATTAAGAGTCACATGCTCCCCCAACTGAACCAGACCAGCACCCCATCCATATATATGTTTTAAAAACAAAACTATAATAAGTTTTTATAGGTCTATGATAAAACTTGTTTTCTTTCTTTTTAGTTACTATTCTATTGACAATGCCTCGCCCAAGAAAACTCATGGTGGAAACAAATAAAACCTCCTTACCTGATGCACGTACTCATCCATGCTTGAAGGCATATCGAAATTGACAACCAGCCGGACACTGATCAAGTCTAGGCCTCGTCCCAGGACTCCAGTGCTCACCACAACTTCGTAGTCTCCTTCAAGTAATCCCTTCCCCACAAAGCAACAAAATTCATTATTCAGAATTTATCTTACGTGGTTTTGTATAATTGAGACATCTTTTTTTCAATACTTTCTTCAATACCGTTTTTGCTGCACCTTTTCAGTAAGTAAAGGTTGTTAGTATAAATACCTGAGAAACATGTGTAGTGTAAGTCTTCCCCTCCCCAACCCCTGCATCCGTCTGTTTCTATTAATGTACTCAGGCAAATCTTTTCCAAGGGTGAATGACTGCTCTGCTCCAGTCTAAACTGACCTGATTTCAGAAATGGTGGATTTTGAATTAGTAATCTATTTAGTAGATAATCCCGTGGAGAACAGGCTTATTGCTCCCAAAACACAGAAGCCTGAGCAAGAGGAACAATTAGCTCATAGTCACTGCGTGCCTGAAGTTCTTGCAGTCCTTAAAAAAAGGTCTGCTTTAAAAAGCAGCCGGTAGGTAACCCCCTGAAAAGATAATCCGAATGTCAAACCTTCAATATGTTTTTCCTTTCTGTTTGTGATTTCTCCGAATGTATAGATACACTTTTCAGACCTGTGATTTTCTGCACTGCCTCACTCAACAGATCTGCTCCCAGCTTGCAGTCCACAAACACTAACACTGGAGGCTTGAAGAGTTTTTTATCCTGAAAAATGAAAAACATGTATTTAAATTTATTCGTGTAACATAAATAACAATGGAAGTTTTTCTGAAATCATTAGTATTAGCTAGTTACAGAGGAAAAACTAGCACTATTAAGATGAGTGTTTTCTTTAAAATATGCACAAACGGAAGCACAAAAGTCTATTGCCCTTCACATTTCTCCATTTCATTAATATTGTAAAAATATTTTTAAAATTGAGTGCAATCTAAAATTTTAAATGCTAAAAAAATAATAAAAAAATAAAATTTTAAATGCTGCTCATAATTAAATACAAGCCATATTTAACTTAATACTTTTAAAAATTTGTTTTTTTGAGAGAGAGTGAGTGTGTGAAAGTGAGCTGGGGGAGGGGAAAGGGAGAGAGAGAGCATCTTCAGCAGACTCCACACTGAGTGAGGAGCCCAACGTGGGGCTGACCTCATAACTCTGAGATCATGACCTGATCCAAAATCAAGTCAGATGCTTAACTGACTGAGCCACATGACCCCTTCACATTTTAAAGTAACTGTGCTTACACATTATCATCCATTTAATAAATTTCTGTTTAAATAAGTTACTGCTAAAAAATTCTATTTTTCAAGGACAGAATGGCCAAGAAAGAACTTATCTTTATCTATTACATAAAACTACTAAAAATTTCTGAAACAAAAAAATATTATTTAGGAATAATCTTGATATTTAAATGTATTTTCTATAATACAGAAAATAAAAAACAACCCTGCATCCGTACAGCAGCATTTATTTGATCCCCACAGAATTCTGAAGTAAAGCAATTTACTACTAAATATCTATACAGGGAATCCCTGGGTTGCTCAGTGGGGGATTCCTGGGTGGCTCAGCGGTTTAGCACCTGCCTTTGGCCCAGGGCATGATCCTGGAGTCCCTGGATTGAGTCCCACATTGGGCTCCCTGCATGGAGCTGCTTCTCCCTCTGCCTGTGTCTCTGCCTCTCTCTCTCCTCTGTGTCTTTCATTAATAAATAAATAAATAATCTTAAAAAAAAAATCTGTGTAAAATTCCCCAAATGCTGCATCTAAAAATCATTAACTTAATAACTGTGAAAAATGCAAACATAATCTACAAAACAGGGTGCCTGCTTTACTACTTACTACTCACATTTAAGATTTCAAATAATTTTTTCTTTTTGGCGGGTTCTTCCACCCACAAAATAATCTGGCGCACACTGGAACAGGGCAGGTTCTTTTCCCCGGTGATAATTCTCACAGGATTATGCAGAAGCTGGCTTGCTAGTTGTTCTATGCTAGTTGGAATTGTAGCTGAAACCAAAATGGTCTGACTATCATTAGGAACGTGTTCCAAAATGTCAAGCACTTGCTGTTGAAAGCCCATCTTTAACATGGTATCAGCCTAAAATAAAACCATTTTAAAGTTAGTCCTATTTGACATTAAAACCCTGAGCCATTCAAGGAAAAAACTGATTAAGAACATAAAAAATTAAAAACTTTTACACATTAGAATATATCACAACGTCAAAAATAAAGGATTTAGAAAAACATATTTATATAAAATTGTATGTTGTGTATCACTGAAAACATATAATTATACAAAGATTTTTATGGTATTATTACGAGTGGCAACAAATATATAAACCCTAAATACCAATAATGGGGGATTTGGTAAATAAAATACAGTAGATCCACTTAATAGAACCCTTTGCTATCATTAATTATGAGTGGAAAGTCCTTTATTAAATGATAATGAATCCCTGCTAGGAGTAATAAAGTACAGAACACTATATATAACATGATACTGTCTGTACATACATTTAAGAAACTTAATTGCTAACTCCAGGGAAAAGACCTATGGAATGTGGAAGGAGATGCAATTAAATTGTTCATTTTACAGCTTTTTGCAAAGTTTGGGTCTTTTTTTCTACCACGGACATATATTTGTAATAAAATATGAAATAAATTTTAAAAACTTAATGTTGGCAGCTTTTGCTTCTGTATATACTTCTGCATTAATAGTTTTTAAAAACAATTTGTGTATTACTAAGCAAACAAAAAAATTCTAAGTTAGTACTGGTTTAAAATAATGAAACACAGGGGATCCCTGGGTGGCGCAGCGGTTTGGCGCCTGCCTTTGGCCCAGGGCGTGATCCTGGAGACCCGGGATTGAATCCCACATCGGGCTCCCGGTGCATGGAGCCTGCTTCTCCCTCTGCCTGTGTCTCTACCTCTCTCTCTCTCTCTGTGACTACCATAAATAAATAAAAATTTAAAAAAAAAAATAATGAAACACAAAGGCTATCTTGATTTTTAAATATAATCCAGGTACCTATAATTTTGAAAAATAAGGTCTGACAATCATTTATTTTGGAGTATTTAGATAAAGCACTGTATTTTGTTGCTGTTTTTTTGTTTTTTAAGTAGGCTCCATGCCCAAAGTGGGCCTCGAACTCATGACTCTGAGATCCAGAGTCCAACACTGCACTGACTGAGCCAGCCAGGCACCCCTAAAGCACTGTATTTTTAAGTGTCCACTACGTGGAAGTTTGAACATGGAATTCATTCCATGATATTTAAAAAAATCTAAAATAATCATAATGGTCTAGCTGATCCTGGCTGATCCTGGCTCTACCTATGACCTTAAATTAAACATGTTAACGAACATCTATAAGCCTCGGTTTTTTTCTTTTACAAATGGGAATAAGAGTTAACTACCTAATAGGTCTGTTATGATGATTAATGATCTCATTAATACATAAAATACATAAACCACTTGGGACCATGCTCACAGCATGGTAAATCTCAATGTTTCAACTTACAAGACACATGTGCACACGTGTGCAACAAGGTAGTAGGTCTTGAAAAACATCCCCGGCTTTTCCTTTTCCTCAATAATCCTACTAAGGCCCCCTCATCTCAGGAGATGGCCTTGCTTCTCCTGGTTCAGAATACAGGCCATCAGAAATAAATCTCCTCTGTCTTCTCCCAAGTTTCCCTGCATCTAAACTGTTTACACTAAAAAAAATAAAAATAAATAAAAATAAATAAAAAATAATAAAATAAATAAACTGTTTACACTAATACGCCCCAAATTCAGGTGCTTCTATCCAGCGCACAATAGTGAGACTCTGCCTCATCCTATCACCCCCACGCCGGAAGCCATCCACCCCAAGCATCCAGTATCTTCTCGAACACAAATCCTATCTCTTACTCCTCTGCTTAAACCCTCCAGGAATTAACCATCACACATAAAATAAAACCCAACTGCTTACCACAGGCTAAAAGTCCTACAGTTTTCATCCTTATCCGCTTCTCTGACTTCATCGCCTAGCACTCTTCCACCTCATGCTCCACGACCCTGCCACATCAGCCTTCTTTCTGCCCCCAACTACCCAATGGTCACTCCCACGTTAGCTCTGTCTAAAGCAGATCCTCCAGCTGGATCTTCACATGGCTGGCTCCCTCTCACTCAGGTCTCAGCAAAAATGTCACTTAGAGCCCTCCCCTGATACTAACCTAACCCCCCAGTTGTCTCTGTCACACGACCCGTGTACATTTATTTGTCAGGGCTTATCTCAATTCCCATTGTATCCTCAAAACCCAGGACAGTGTCTAGCATGTAAAAAGCACCTGATAAATAAACAAGCATTCGTTAATTCTAAGCACTGAAAAAACCACTGCAGGCAGCTTAGCTTGCTAGTCAGTGTGTCCCAAACCCCCTAAAGAAGAATCACCCAGAACGAGTTTTTGAATATCCCTGGATTCCAACTCAGACTTCCTGAATCAGAATATCTACATAAGAGGTCTGCTCTTCTACTACATTCACTGAACACACTGGGTGATTCTTACCATTAGGGAAACTTGGACCAGCACTATGCTTGATTGTTGGGATACAGCAGGAGCCTAATACAAGAGAAAGGATAAAGTCTATACACAGGTAAACAGAGCAGAGAGGAAAGGTCTGACGTCTACCTGGGAGACTGATGGAAGGTTTCAGAGCCACATACGCATAAAGAAGTTAGGGCAGGTAGTTGGGAGAGAATCCTAGGCTGAGGGACAGGTACATGGGAGACACAGAAGGGTGACACAGCAGATTCCTCTAATTCTAAAGGAATTATCTTAGTCTTCATGCCTGACCATTCCTGAATCTTCACCCTCCTCTTCAAACAGTGGCCTGTCTTTGCAGCAATATTACTTGCTCTCAGTTTCTTTTTTTTTTTTATTTTTTTTTAATTTTTTTTTTTTATTTTATTTACGATAGTCATACAGAGAGAGAGAGAGGCAGAGACACAGGCAGAGGGAGAAGCAGGCTCCATGCACCGGGAGCCCGACGTGGGATTCGATCCCGGGTCTCCAGGATCGCGCCCTGGGCCAAAGGCAGGCGCCAAACCGCTGCGCCACCCAGGGATCCCTGCTCTCAGTTTCTTTCTGGTTTCTCAGACTACTTCTCTCCTTAGACTCCTCTTCAAACTCCACAGACAGACACAGAGCCCCAGTGCCTGTTCCTCTCTCACCTTCCACCCTTAGAGAGACCAGTGTGTCCCACGGATGCTAATGCCCATTTCTCCTATCCACACAATATTTCCCCTTCATCCGTCATTCACAAGAAATTTGACATTTCTAAAACCAATTCAAATACTACTGTCAAGCCCCAACCCTTACCCGCTTACCCTTTCCTTAAAATTAAAGGCACAACCAGAATTTATGGAGTCCCCTCAACCACCTTCCTCTTCATCTTCTTTCATATTCAGTCCTCAGAAGACTCATGAATGATTCACAGCGATTCTCTGATGTACTCATGCTTCCCACTGCCTCCACCCTGTCCCTGACCCTGCTCACTTCTTGTCTGGGTTGCTACCATTCTGTCCCACAGATTCTTTCTTCTTTCATTTTTCTTGCATGGAGCAGCAGAATAACCTTGCTAAACCGCCACTTTCCACATGTGACACCCCAACTCAATAATTTAGAAAGCCTCATTGTTTCCCACATCAAATCCAAAATCCTCTGCCTCCTTTTCAGGGCCCTCTGTAATTTGACCCCACCCTAACTACCCAACTTTACTTCCTATTATTCCTCAGGAAGAATGCTTCAAGCTGGCTGGTCTCTCTGTGCTTGTGCTTGGCCTTTCTGGCTCTGTTCATGTTAGGCTCTTCACCTGGAACACTTGCTATGTTCTCTAGTTTTCTAAATCCTTTCCCATCTGTGGACGACCACGTCATATCCCATTACCTCGGAGGAGCCATCTCTTATGGTGCCAATTCATACGGTCTCTCATTTCTCCTTCTGACCTTAAATGTCCTAAACAATTAGCGTATCATACACAGTCCCATTACTTTACTAACAGTTTGTATCAGGAGTCAGCAAACTGAGGCTCTTGGGACAAACACAGACCTTCAGGTATTTTTTTAAATAGAGCTTGTGGGAATGCAGTCACACCTGCTCTGGTCTCTGGCTGTACTGGGCGCTCCAACAGAGGACATGTGGCCCCCAAAGTCTTAAATGGTCCTTTGCAGAAAGAGTTTGCTGTTCCCCGGGCTGCACAGCACCTTTTAATACGTTTGTATTTCCGTATATATGACAATGTTCTTGCCTTTACTTCAAGAATTTATGTATTTTTCTTCAATGAGATTTCAGCACTTCATAGGCTGGAATAATATTTAAAATTTCTTTGTGACGCCATCCAAACTTAACCAGACTTGGTCAATCTGTATCTAAATAGAACTTCTGTGCCAACTTCAGTTTCAGTACATGATCAATTATGTTGTTTACCAGCTAGTTTCCTTAAATGCTGAGGAGCTGGGACCGAGGCCACACATTACAAGCACTCACTACAGGTTTGCTGAATGAATACTCCTTTTATATGGAGCACAGCACAGAGGTACCCTGTGAAACTTCGTCCATTGGCTAAAGGGGAAAATGTTGTGGAGAGAAGCAAGCAGGAATGGAATCCAACTTTAAAATCTCTATGAGGTTCATTTTTCAGGCTCACCGCATGGTGAGAACTTAAGAACACATGGGCTTATCAACAGTGGGAAGCCCACTTGTACTTGCAGGGTGGCAGTAAGTCTGATGATAATCAGATGCAATAAATCAGTTGAATCAAAAGGCACACCAGGAAAACGCTGACTTAGCAGCACTTTTTGAAGGACTGAATAACAGTTCACAACACCCAAGGTATGGAAACAACCTTAGTGTCCGTCAGCAGATGAATATGATAAAGAAAATGAGGTGCATGTTATATACAATGGAATATTATTCCGACTTAAAATTACTTCATTTTTAGTAACATGGATGGACTTGGAGGACATTATACTCAGTGAAGTAAGCTAGACAGAAAAAGACAAACACTGTATGGGAACACTTATATGTGAAATCTAAAAAAGTTAAAAATAAAAAAATGAAAGTCAAACTCATAGAAATTAGTAGAAAAATGGTTGCCAGGGGCTAGGGAGTGGGTGAAATAGGAAGAGGTTTGGGGTAAAAGTGTAAATACTTTCAGTTATATAACAGATAAGGTCTGAAATGCATAACATGGTTACCATAATTAATGATGCTCCATTAATAATTATATAACTGAAATTTGTTAAGGGAGTAGAACTTAAATATTCTCTCTCTCTCTCACACACACACAGAGTAGATGTGTAAGAAGAAAACAAAAAAATAATAAAGGACTGAATACCATTACCTTAACTGTCCTAAACAATTACTTTACATTTATACAGGACATTCCAGTCTATGAGACATTTTCCCAATCATTACTTCATCATTGCCACAACTCTGGAAGATTAGACGACTTGCCCAGCACCCCATAGTGGGGTGGAGTTAAAGGCTCAATCCCAGTCTCAAGGATCTTGCCTATGTGTTCTTTCCACGTCCTCTGGCTACTTCCTGGAACCACGTTGCCATCACTGGTCAGCCCCTGAACCCCACATTTCTGATCACTGCTGGGCCTCTCTGCTCTGTCACTGCTGGTGGGACGTATATGAAAGTAGATGTGCAATGCACTGCAGGCAGAACTGGCCCATGCCCAACCTGTGCTGACACAGTTTTGAGTCCTCCTGCTTGTTCACTTGCTGGAATATCATCAGATAATAACATATTAAGCAAATCAAAAATATAAAAATGCCTATATGCTCTATGTAACACTGAAAAAACCACAGACACCTATGTCCACACAGAAGAAAATATAAAAGGTCATCCAACTAAATATTATTAGCTACTTCCAAATTCCCTATTAATAGTTACATGCTGTGGATTCATGTGGTTTTTTTTAGACAAATGAGAGCCAGTGTCAAATATATAAAAAAATTTGGGATCCCTGGGTGGCACAGCGGTTTGGCGCCTGCCTTTGGCCCAGGGCGCGATCCCATGTCGGGCTCCCGGTGCATGGAGCCTGCTTCTCCCTCTGCCTGTGTCTCTGCCTCTCTCTCTCTCTCTCTCTCACTCTGTATGACTATCATAAATAAAAAAAAAAAAAAATCAAAAAAAAAATTTAAAAATTTATCACTGAGAATATAGTAATTATTGGAAATTAGGAAAAGATAGCTGATTTTATTTACTAATGTGGTTTAATTTTGGTGCACTACACCTTGGGTTAGCAGGGCAGTACCACACGGGAACCAGCTTACGAATGGCTACTGCAATTAAAAAAAAAAATTCCTAATTTTTTTTCGTTTGGGGAAGAAAATGCCTGAACATACAGTGAAATTATGTAACTAGAATATACTTTTCATAAATTATATAAAAATTATGTGACTAGTGTTCTAAACAACACTACTTACTTCATCTACTACTACAATTTTTATACCGCGGAGTTCTACAGAGCTCTGTTTTATTATATCCAGAAGTCGCCCAGGAGTCGCTATGATAACCTGAAGAACAGAGAAAAGAAAAATTAGATAATCTTCCTTCCTTCTTTCTGTCTATACTTACTGAGTGGCTAATATGTGCCAGCCACTGGGTTAAGTACTCAGAATTCAATGTTGATTAGGTCAGACATAGTTTCTGCTCTCACAAATCTCATAACACAAAGGAAGGAACAGACGAAACACATCAATGCTCGTGAGGTTATCCAGTCCTGGCTAACAGACAAGCGAAAACCTAAAGGAGGAGTGGGAGCCGGTGAGGAGAGGGCCAGGTGGAGGGAAAGCATCCAAGAACTTCTGAAGCTGAAAGGCCACTGGGGTGGAGAGGGGACAAAGATTCGGAGGAGGCTCGAAAGTAGGCAGAGACCAGACCAGGAAGGGCCTTGCAGGCAGGCTGACCACTATTTGGCTCTATGACCAAGTGCAAATCCCTTAACCTCTTTGGCCCTGCTCTTCTGTTTTTAAATTAAAAGGTCGGGCACAATGATTTCTAAGGTTGCTTGAGGCTCTTAACGCTTTTACAACGTATTAGTTGAAGCAGTGCTTAAAAGTGGGGCCTGTAAGTCAAACTTCAGTAGGAATCTCAGCTGTAACACTTAATGGTGTGAGTCTCTGTTCTCACATTCATAAAATGGAAATAATAATAATTACTGTGAAGATTAAATGAGACAGTGCCTGGAGTAAAGCAGAGTAGAGTTACAAATGATCGAATAAACTCAACTGTATTCTACTTTTCAAAGACAAACCAACACAATGGTGAGGGTCATGGAGAATGGTAAGTTTCAGGGTCGTAAGGATCTGTATCCACAGAACTACAGCGCTCCACTTAGTTTCTTCAGAAATACCATAAACATTTAGATCCATTTTAATTATTTTGAACTGAGCTCATCCCTTCTATTCCTATTTCATTTTCCTCCTCTACTGGTTTGGAAATTATAAACTTTTCCCCCAATTCTTTTAGTGTGGGAATTCCCTTGAATTGTAAAATAAATGTATATAAGCTTAATAAAGTCTGAGGTGAACTAGACATATTTACCTTTTTCTTGAATAATCAAGGGCAAATGATTTAACACCAATCACAACTTTCCTGTGCTACAGTTGGTCAGTATTTTACTTCTATTTTTTTACACCCATGTATTGTTCATTATTACTTTTTATTTAGTCAATGTTTGTTTACATTTACCCACATGAAGGACGCCTGGGTGGCTCAGCAGTTGAGTGCCTGCCTTCGGCCCAGGGCGTGACCCCAGGGTCCCGGTATCGAGTCCACGTCCAACTCCCTGCATGGAGCCTGCTTCTCCCTCTGCCTGTGTCTCTGCCTCTCTCTCTGTGTGTCTCTCATGAATAAATAAATAAAATCTTTAAAAAAATTTTTTTACCCACATGATTACTATTTTCTTTGCTCACCATTCTTTTTTTTTTTAAGATTTTATTTATTTATTCATAGAGAAACAGAGGAGGGGCAGAGACACCGGCAGAGGGAGAAGCAGGCTCCAAGCAGGAGCCTGACGTGGGACTCGATCCCGAGTCCCCAGGATCACGCCCTGGGCCGAAGGCAGGCACTCAACCACTGAGCCACCAGGGCTGCCCACTCGCCATTCTTTCTTTGATCCCATGCCTTCCTTTCCAGAATCTTCTTTATATGCAGAATATCTTAGATTAGTATTCTTTTATATAAATCTACTGGTAATAAACTCTCGGTTTTGTTTACCTGAAAAGGTCTCTATTCTGCCCTGGCTTTTGAAAGATCACTTTGTTGAATAGACAGATTTTTCAGTTACTTTTTTCATAGAGGGTGTCTGTGAAGGACATGGCCTGGCACGGGGGGTGGGAGAGGCAGCAGGGTGATGAGGGGCCCTCCGGAGAAAGGCGGCCCTGCACAGGGTGTTGCGGTCTAAGGGGTTGAAGAGGGTGCAGGATGGAGTCTAGGAAGGAACGCATCACTGTGGGGCAAGGGACAGGGATGAGGATGGGCTACTGGTTATATAGAAGATGGCTGATTAAGTAAATAAATATGTAAAAGATGAGAGGTAGCAGATTTCTCACTGTCAGAGTGACAAATATGGAAGCAGAAAATGCCAAAATAATCTTGCTGTGTTGAATCAGAGTTGGAAGTATTGACACGAACTCATGGGCTACGATAAACATAGATGCAGAAATATACACTTAAGGAATATTCTCACCTTCTATTCACTGAAAGGTCCTCGAAGCAATGATAACTCAACAGCAAAGAGAAACAGCAGCAAACCCAACCAAGAGCCCAGATTTTGGTTTCTAAATACCGTCCTCTACCAAAAGGAATCAGGACAGCTTGGGGAAAAGCATGATTTCAGGGCTGAGCCAAGGGAAGAACAATGTAAGCACGATCATCTTCTTCAGATAGAAAGAAAGAAAGTGCTCAAAGAATGATGGGGACATTATAAAAGAACACAGAAACCGACTCCACAGTGCTCCCACTGCTCAAACTGGGGACAAGTGGAGAACCAAAACAAATAATGGTAATAACACATTATGATCCTTTAAATACAATCGGTAATCACGAGTCATACTGATATACACATATAAAAAGTTGGAAATTTGGTAAAGCACAAGAAATTTACAAGATGAAGGTATTCAAAATGCTTAACTAATTACAGAGGGAACAAATAAATTTTACAGTTACTTTACAGGTGATATCACCAGTAAAAGGACACATTGAAATCGTGTATCATCTAAAAGGATGTAGTCATGGGGCGCCTGGGTGGCTCAGTAGGTTAGACATCAGCCTTCAGCTCAGGTCGTGATCCCAGGGTCCTGGAATTGAGCCCCGAGTTGGGCTCCCTGCTCAGCGGGGAGCCTGCTTCTCCCTCTCCCTGCCGCTTCCCCTGCTTGTGGGCTCACTCTCTGCCAAATAAATAAAATCTTAATAAAAGGATGTAATGAAAAGAACAAAGGATCTCTTCCGTGATATTCCTTTCAAAGATACATAACTGAAAAAAAAAAAAAAAGATACATAACTTAAACCCAGTCAACTGACAGATCTTCTTCAAAGTAAGCAGTTTAAAATTCTTAAAACTGTCAAGATTATGGGGGGAAAAAAAAAGCAAAGACTAAAGAACTGTTCTGCACCAAAGGAGATGAAAGAGACATGACAACTGAATTCAAAATGTGATTCTGAACTGAATTCTTGTGTTATTAAAAAGAAAAGTTGACGGGACAACTAGTAAAACACGAACGGGGTCTGAGGACCAGATGACAGCAGCCTGAACTCCCGCGGCATTCCAGGGTACCCAGGTTCGTTTCCTGATTCTGTAACTGTACTGCGGTCACTGGGATAACGGCCTTGTTTGTAGGAATCACACTCTCAGGTACGTTAGCTACGGATCCTTAGGTAAATGTCATCTTTCCGAGATTCAACTTCTCAGCCATGAAGATGGGATATGCCCACCCACCTTCAAGAGCCAATGTGATAAACGAGATGATGCGGGTGAGAACATCCACCGGCACTGGGGGAAAGGCAGGAATTAATTGTGTTCCTTTCCAATATAAAACAACCTTAAAAAAAAAAACTTAAGGCTTACTCGGCAAGAATTAAAGGCTAACCTAAAATCACATGCGTTAAGGTCCTTGAAGGCAAACAAAACCACCAGGACAAACCCGTGATCAAACTGGTGCTTACCTTCACGTGCTGTCGCAGACGGTACAGCTGTGGGGGTAAGGGTAAGCCCCCCACCAGGAGCACGGTTTTCATGCGAGGCAGGCCACTCATCAGTTCTTTAGCTTGGTTCTCTATCTGAATGGCTAGCTCTCTTGTTGGTGTAAGAATCAGTGCAGACGGAGTCTTGCTCTGCGAAGATGTCAGAAACACGTCTGAAAATGCCGGCAGTGAATTCCTGCGGATGGGCTGAATCCTCAAAGTATTCTGGGAGTCTTCCCATCAGCCCAACTGGATATGAACCCTCCTGCCTTCTGCTCACTGCAGATTTTCTCTCCAAAAACCATCATAAATTGAACCCTTCCTTACATAACACAGATACACAGTGAAAGATCAAAATTGGGGCCAGGGAGAAGCACCTGTGATAACCAGGGTGGGGAAAGTGGCAGTTGGCTCCCAGGCGGACCCTGCCATCTCTGGCCACGCTCCTCTGAAGACAAAACCAGGACGATCCGGTTAAAGCTTGGTGTTCCACCCTTGATACAGTCCCCTCAGCTCTCCTGTAGATTCACTTTTTTCTTTGTCCAAAGAATTTCCTTTTATAAATGTCCTTTATTTCCTGCCCTATAGCTCTATTTTGGGGCATCCAGTGAGTTTTACTAATATTTTGAACATTGGGTGCTTTCTTTTATTTTTTCCTCGCATTATCTTCTACGATTCTTTAGTTTTCCGAATTTTCCTCCTTTACCTCTCCTCTCTTTGCCTATATTTTGCATTGGCCTCCCTTTTGCCCTACTTCAGATCTCACAAACTCACTAGCACTTGGCAAATGCGTCGGTTAAGTTAATTCTGTGTGTGTGTGTGTGGGGGGGTGCTTTACGCACTATAAGCTAACGAGTAAAGTAAGGTAGCATTATTTTAAGATGGACCATTTAAGCGCGTATTTTGAACTCTATGATAACATTCCAACTTTGGAATAAATCAATTTAAAAAAAAAACAATTGTTTAAAAAACACAAAATAAATCAATTTTTTAAAAAACCAAGGAGGCTAAATTGAACACAAAAATTGCGGGTCATCAGTCAGCAGGATTTTTTTTCCCAAACCAAGAGTTTACTTCTTGAATATAAAATTTGTTGGAAAAAAAAAAAAAAAAAAAAAAAAAACAGAAAGAAAATTCACTGAAAGAAAATATTTTGTAAGGAAAGCAATTTTTTAAGAACTTCAATGAAAATATCTTGAAGGTTCAATCTAATAAAAGAAAAATCCCCTAAAATTATGTTTCTCATACCAGCAACTATCAGAAGCAAAACCGCCAGGAGCACTAAGGCCTGAAGTTACAGTTTCCATTTGCAGTTTTAACCTAGTTAAGGATGAAACTTGGTATATAACTGACTTGTTCCTGAGAGAAACACCTGTGAACTCTTACCTCGCATAAGGCTCGGGTGATGACAGGAAGAAGAAAAGCGGCTGTTTTTCCTGAGCCGGTATCAGCACTGGCCAGAACGTCTCTTCCCAGAAGTCCCACAGGAATCATCTGCATCTGGATGGGGGTTGGGACTTCATAGCCCGACGTCTTCAGGTTGTGATTCAAGGCCTCAGGGAACCCACAATGCTCAAAGTCAATGATGGGCCTGGTGACATCTTGCCCCTGAACTACAATTCCTAGCTGCCGTTTGAGGTTTTCAATCTGGTCTTCCTGAAGGTTCAGAATGAAGGGGTGCTCTTTGTAGACATACAAAGCGTTCCGTGGAGACTCTGGCTCAGAAGTAGCTTTGTGTGGGGCGCTGAGTTTCAACCTCTCCTCCTTTTCCTTTACTTGCAGAAGATGTTTTGCTTTACACTCCAAACTGCACACGTCTTCATCGGTCTTATCACAGATGTACTCTCCGTAGCGACCACAAACAACACAGACAGGTTCTCCGGGTTCGGCCCAGCGCTGTGTTTTGGAAAAGGACTTAACAGGCTCTTCGGAAAGATCGCTACCCTTTGAATCCTGCTCAGGTCCAACCACACCAACGTGAGCCCACTGGCTGGCTGTGCTGGGGAAAGGGCACGGCTCCGCGCTGCACCCGTCTGCCGTCCTGGCTGCCCTGGGGGCCAGCGCATCAGCTGGATCACCTCTGCCTTCATCCAGCCGAAGGTCTTCCGCCTCTGGTTTGGTTTTCTTGGCCGCGCAACTTTTGCCATCCTCGTTAGCATTCCTCTTGATTTTCAGAGATCTTGGAACAAACATCCTTCAATATTCTGTTGAGGAAATTATATAATGAGATTTATTTTATCCTCAGTAAAGTCAACGTATATGATCCTCCATAAAGTACCGTGATTACCCCGGAGTCAGCCTCGTGTGTCCCTGGGCTTCGCCTGAAAGAAGGCGTCCTGACACTACTTACAGCAGGGCTTTTCTCCCATTCACAACTTTCCCTGGTGAAGGAAAAAAAAAGGGCCTTTTCCTTATACATGGGAGTGGTGAGACTTCACACACTGCTTAGCACAGCCTGTGCGTACAGCCGGCCTGTTTACGGACTCCTCGCACTCTGAAATACCAACTATCATAGAAATCGTGGAGGAAATCCTATTAAGTTTTCACAAGAGGAACCGGGAGGGATGCTTCGCCACTGGGAGCTTTAAAATCAAAACCAGAAAACAGAAAAATGCGACCTTGAGCTAGTAATGCTTGCTCTGTAGGTTCCAAGCCGTGTTTGCTGCTTCTCACCTGAGCCCCACCTCCGCAGCTGGTAGCTTAGTACCGCCCGCGCAGACACAGCTGTATCATGCTGTACTGTGTATGGTAATTTTTCAGATGAAAAAACTGGGCCAGCTGGAGGCGAAGGGGCTCGTCCCAGCTCACACGGTTCCTAAAGGGTTAGAACCCGGGGCCCTCGGGGTCCAGAGCGCCAGCTCCAGCTGCAGCCACCAAAATGCTTTTGCAAAATGTTCACTTGCTGGAATCGTGAAACGCTTTTTCATCTAATTTGGGGGCCGTTCAATATTCTAATCAACACTTTGCTAAAAAAAAAAAAAAATCTTAGGATAAATGACCAGATTCAATTTTTCCAGAAAAATTCCCCAACCAAAAAAAAAAAAATGCAACTGAAGATGCAGGCTTCCTAAGTCCCCGGGAACGACAAGGCGGGTGGGGGGAAGGACGGCCCCGGCGGCAGGGAGAGCCCGGAGCTCGAGGTCCTCGAGTGCAGACTCGGAACCGGCTCGGGCGGGCGGGGGCTGCAGGACCCGCGACCCCCCCCCCAGAGGCGCGGGCACGTCACGGCGCTGCTAGAAGGCGGGGCGGGGGGGGGGGGCGGGCTACCGGGTTCCCGCCCGACGCCCGGGCCGGGGAGGCCGCACGGCGGGGAGGGGCGCTGCAGCCCGCGGGCGGGGACGGGGGCACGGGGGGGGGGGCCGGGCGGGGGCCCAGCGGGGGCACAAGAGGGGGCCGCGGGAGGGAAGGATGGGGGCGGGGGCATGGGCACGGGCACGTATAGGGGCGGGGCGGGGAAAAGGGCACGGGTGGGGGCGGGGCGAGGGGCACGGGGGAGGGCGGGGCGAGGGGCACAGGGGGGCGGGGCACAGGCGGCGGCACGGGGGGAGGGGGAACGGGCACGGGTGGGGCCACGGGTGAGGGCGGGGCGGGGCGGGGGCTCGGGGGCACTGATGGGGGCGGGGTGGTAGCAGGGGCGGGGGCACCGCTGGGGGCGGGGGCAGGGGCACGGGCACGTATAGGGGCGGGGCGGGGAAAAGGGCACGGGTGGGGGCGGGGCGAGGGGCACGGGGGCACGGGTGGGGGCGGGGTGGTAGCAGGGGCGGGGACACCGCTGGGGGCGGGGGCACGGGCACGTATAGGGGCGGGGCGGGCGGGGGCACGGGTGGGGACGGGCGGGGGCACGGGTGGGGAGGGGCGGGGCCGCGGGTGGGGGCGGGGCGAGGGCACGGGGGGGCGAGGCACAGGCGGGGGCGTGGGGGCACTGATGGGGGCGGGGTGGTAGCAGGGGCGGGGGCACGGGCACGTATAGGGGCGGGGCGAGGAAAAGGGCACGGGTGGGGGCGGGCGGGGCCGCGGGTGGGGGCGGGGCGAGGGCGCGGGCGGGGGTGGGGGTGGGGGATCCTACCGCCGCCGCGGCCTAGCGCCCCGCGTCCCAGGGGCGAGCGAGCAGGACGGGAAGGAGGCCCGAGCCGCCGGGGCCCGCGGCCGGCTCACTGGCCCAGACGTGGGGCCACGTCCGCTCCCGCTCGGGGCCGGCTCCCCGCTCCGGGCGCTGGGCCGAGCCTCCCGCCGACGGGCCTGCAGCGGCGCGGCCTCCCGACCGCGCGGAGGGCCGTGCGGAGCGCAGGATCCACTTGTCCGGGTTTTGTGGGGAGGCCGCGGCGCGCCGTGCGACGGGGGAGGCGGGGCCTGCCGGAGTGGGCGGGGCCTGCCGGAGTGGGCGGGGCAGGGCGCCTTTCCACGCCCCCTCCCGGCTCGGGGCCGCCGGCCGACTGGCGAGCGCGGCCGGGGCGCGGCCGCAGCCCGCGGGGCCCGCAGGGCGGGGCGGCCCAGGGAGCCTCGGGGCAGAGTGAACGTGACGCAGTGGGGCCGGGGCGGGGAGAGACCCAAGCCGGTGGCGCGGGAGCCGGGTGCGCTGGGTAATACTTCCACACTACCACCCAACCCCAGAAAGGGAAGAAAAAAAAAAAAAAAACACAGAACCACAAATCACGGTTTTTGGTGTCTTTGGAATTTCATTTCACTGCTTTGCTAGAACTCTGGAGCCACCTGCCCCAAGCAGGTGGGAGGGAGGGCTGGGGAGGAAGCAGGAAAGAGGGAAGCTGAGCTGGACGACCTAAATACTTGAGGTTTTAACAATTAAAAAAAATATGTTCAGTCTAATTTTTGATGCATTCAAAATAATGAACAAATATGTTAAGTTTTAAAGCATACTGATAATGTGAAAGATCTCTGACTGCACCACCTTATTAATATAAGCAAGCACAGGGACGCCTGGGTGGCTCAGCAGCTGAGCATCTGCCTTTGCCCCAGGTCGTGACCTGGGGTCCCAGCATCCAGTCCCACGTCGGGCTCCCTGCGTGGAGCCTGCTTCTCCCTCTGCCTGGGTCTCTGCCTCTCTCTCTCTGAGTCTCTCATGAATAAATAAATTTTTAAAAATCTTTAAAAAAAAATGTAAGCAAGTATATATAGCCCTTCATCTCTTGTCCATACCTTGCTTCTTCCCTTGGTGATCACTACTCTAAATTTTGTTTGTCTCTGTCATTTTTAAGACTTTTATCATAGTTGAATGCATCCCTCATTGATATATTGTTGACTTTTTCTCTTTTTTTGAGCTTTATAGAAATAACACATAGCTAGCCTTGTGGGGTCTGCTTATATCACTCAGCATTTGTTTCTTGGATTCATCCAAGCGAAGTGTAAGCAAGGAGTAGAACATTTTACTGCTATAATATTGTGTGTCTGCAAAGCTGCTTTTGTGTAGTTATTTATTGCTTTTCCTGCGAACACTTGAGTCGTCTCCAGTATTTTGTACTTAATAGAGGCAAATTTACCATGAAGCTAATGAAATTTGAGCTTCAGAGCCCCTCTGTCCCATGGGTCCCTTCCATAGCCCTAAAAGAAGAGTTCTCGTCAATGTGTTCTCATGGTCATATGTTTTTGTAAAATCTTCAAAAGAAGGATATTTAACCCACAATGGATTAGGACCACTTTCTCTTTACACCCCAGCTTCGCCTTCTTCAACACTTCTCAAGTTGGGTGGTGATAGATAGCAGCAGGCATTTGGGGATTGAGCCAAAGCGGATTGAGCTGCAGATACATTTACTTGAGCTCGGTGGAATGTATTTGTGGGTTTGCAATTCTCATAATTGTTAGGCTATTGCTTTCCACCCCAGAGTAGGAAGGTGTGGGGACAAATGTTTTATCAGGATCTGAATGTGTCCCACAGCATCCAACGCCAGAAGTATACGCACGTTGAGGGAGAAATATAGTTTGCAATGTAGAAAGCTAGAAGCTGGTCTGTAAAGATTTATTAGATCTGTGAAACTGTAAGCAGAGGATCAAGTTCTGACCAATGCTTAGTCAAATGGAAGTTCTCTCCCATTAGGGATGTACCCAGGATTATATGATTATAAATGTATGATTTACATTTTTTTATTGATGGGAATCACACAAAGTAAAATTTATCAGAAGCCCTGAGCTTGTAGGTCACAAACCTGGAACAGAACCACAGTGATTTTGTCCAGACTTTTTTTTTTTTTACATCCCAAAGATTAATAATTTGAAAAAGCTGAATAAACCATATAAAAGAAATACTTCATCTTTTTATTCTCTCTATATAAATGACATTACAGAAATCATTGTCATGTGAAGAGGGTATCAGAGTATGCAGTAAAAAAAAAAAAAGGAAAAAGTATAGAAGTGTGTAAAAAACAATTTTAAATATTGTATGCTACTTTCCTGGGTTTTGTTGCATTTATAATGCGTTGTGGTTTTTCTCCAATTATATAATCTCATGCCCCACAAAACCCAAATCTGCCCCGGGCAAGTACAAACAAGGCTGGTAGGAGCATTCTGTGAACACTTCCTGTGGAAGTGACTGAGTCTCATTTGAACGTCAGAGAGTATGGGGGGCTCAGCTTTAAGAGATAATGCTGGGGTCCCTTGGGTGGCTTAGTTAAGTGTCTGACCCTCAATTTCAGCTCAGGTCCTGATTAGGGTCATGGGATTGAGCCCCACATCAGGTTCTATGCTCAGCACAGAGTCCACTTGAGGATTTTCTCGCTCCCTCTGTCCTTCCCCCATCCCTACGCTCATGCATGATCTCTCTCTCTCTTAAATCTTTTTAAAACCTTAAAAAAAAATAAAAGGTAATGCTGTAATGTTTTCAAAGTGCCGGTACAATCTATGCTGCCAGCAGCACTCCACATTCTCTCCAAATCTTGTTCTTGTCAGATTTCTTAATTTTTGCTAGTCTACCAAGAATAAATCGGTACCCTCAGGTTGAGCATTTTTTAATATGCTGATTGTCCATTCCTGTTTCTCTTCTAAGGGTTTTTCATAGAAATCTATTATTGATATCAATCTTTTGTCAAGTGTACGTACTGCAAATATTTGCTCCCTGTTCATAGCGTGTGTTTTTTCAAGTATCAAAAGATTTTTTTTTACTCTATTTTGGAAAGAAAATCAAACCGACGAAAAGCTTCAGGACTAATACAGTGGATATATATATACATACACACACTTCACATCAACTCACTGTTTACTATATTTGTGTACAAAATAGACAATGTATACATCATTTTTGTTCATCTATTTGAGTGTAAGTTGCAGCATGTATTCCTGAAAACAAAAATATTCTTTTATGTGCCCATTTTCAAATTTAGGTAATTTAACATCAATATAATACTTACATCTAATATATAGTCCATATTGAAATTGGACCTGTTCCAATAGTGTTCTTTAGAGCAATCCCCCCCCCCCAACAATACAGGATCCCGTCCAAGATCTTTTCACTTCCTTTATCGATTCTTTTGATGAGTAAAAGTTCTTAGGTGTAATGTAGTTGAATATGTTAATCTTTTCTTCTGCATTTTGCAACTCTGGCATCTAAAAAATCCTTGCCCTGCCAGAGGGTCAGGGGCTGGAGGGGGAGGGATGAATATGTGAAGCACAGAAGAGTTTACGGGCAGTGAGAGCATTCTATATGACACAGTAACGGTGGATACATGTCATGATACATGTCCAAACCCATAGAACGTACAACACCAGGAGTGAACCCTAAATAACTATAGACTTTGGGTGAAAATGGTGTACCAGTGGAGATCCATCAGTGTAGCAAGCATACCACTCTGGTGGGAGATGTTGATGAACAGGAAAGGCTATGCATGCATGGGCAAGTTGGTTTATGGAAAATCTCTGTAGTGTCCTCTCAATTTTGCTGTGAACCTTAAACTGCTCTTTTAAAAAGAAAAAAAATCTTTGCCTACCCTAAAATCAGAAAGGTACTTCCTAGA